GGATCAGGATGACCTCGTTCCATGGGCCGGCAGACGTTCTAGCAAGAACAGATATGGGCGTCGGTTCGTAAATGATTGATTCCAGGACTCCGAACACTCCCCAGCCACATCGCTGGCCATCTACGTTTGCTGTGCTCTCCGTCTCACTATCATCTCGACCCTAACACAAACCCTAATGACCCCTCATTGACATCTTTAAAACAGACATTGAATGCGTCGCAAGAGCTCCTCAACGTCCAGTACGAAAGCCAAAAGCATTCCTCATCCCTCTCGTCCACCTTCGAAGTATCGTGGGTCCTGGGAATTTCGACCCCAGCGAAGCCACTGATCAGTCCAATTCTTTGTGTACGGATTAGGAAAGGAGTTTGTACTTTCTCGTTATAGCGCACCTTTGTAAACGCGTTCTCTCATGTGCCCATTTTCAGAAACCAGAATCAGAACTTAGAGTTCAGCCCCATCAGTGGTATTTTCTATCTTTGACAGGTCCGAGGTGAGCAGAACCAGCCGATATGGCGAGTTCCATTCCAGTTTTTTTGCCGGCTGAGTTCTCAATGAAATTGACGTACAAAACTCCCCGGATATTATGGCTTTACGCAAGTAAGCTGGTATTTGTTCTCGTCTTCGTGCAGGGTCCTACAAGCATCTCATCATATCTTCGTCCGCAAGCACAATGCTAGACCTTGTCTACGCTGTGAGACAGGGCTGGCAGCTCGACCTAGGGTCCATATTCTGGCAGCAGCGACACAACATCTCACAATGTAAATCTCAGCGAATCAACGGAGTTAGCTTCAGGGCTCCGAACCCGTTGCTCCGTTAACCTACTCCAGATCTCGCCCACTCCTTCCCGATATTACTCATGACTTGGTTACCGAGGGATCTCTCACTCGTCGCCATGCTAGCTATACTAACCTTGTCACCGATATGGTAGTTGTTGACAAATGTGCTACCCCAGGGCTTCGTGGCAAGATACGATTCGATCTCAGGACGGATTCCGGTCTGGTCACTATCATCCCTTGGCTTTCTCCCTGGACTGGACTTCACGGCGTATCGACTTGGTCTCTAAAACCGTTTCTGGGAGCATTACGATCCACACAACCCCCTAGACACGCAGAACTCTGCTATGCAGAGGATATGTCGGTAATTGAACGCTACACAGCACACTCTCAGCAGCAGTAACTACGAGGTATAAGGCATTTTCACCTGCTAACAGCCTCCTCACGTACCTCGTGTCTCTCTTCCCATCGCCCACGTATCGCAGCATACGGATTTGGTAGTCCTTGATGAAGCTCTTCCCTCATACGAAAGTACAACCCAATCGCCCAATTAGGCTAATTTGACTCCAGCTTCTTGCTCTTCCCCGGTGAGTTCTCCCAATTTGATGCTCACGTCTCTTCGTTTCCCAATTCCCATGGCCATTCTTGGACAAGGTGAAACGCGTTTCACAGCCTCGCACCCATGTTGGACATCTCTCAACCTTGTATTTCTACGTGCGGGCTGGCGGAATGCTGGCTGAATACACTAGGTACGAGTACGAGGATGTATCGTTGTGGCGACAACGAGAGGCCTGTTGGTTACGGGCCTCCCTATCATCCATTTCTCCACTAGGTAATTGACTTATTCAATATCGCTTAGACAAAACTGACCATTCTGGTCTCATCCAGAAAGTGTCAATGGCGTAAAGCTTAGTGATTTTAGTCAGAGCAGGTATGAAGTGGGTAAACCCGGCTTTCAGACTTTTGGACTGACCGACAACACCGTCTCTACTTACTAACAAAATCTTCTTCAACAGGTTTCTATTCGGACGCAGGCTTGGATTCCTTCATGTGGCTTCTAGCCAAGTCCATTCCATAGTTCCCGCCGCTTCGTCGCGGATGCCTTGTGATCAAAAGGAGTGGTCACGAATTACGATACGTTATAATTCGAACGCTAGCGACTCGCGATAAAACTATTTGGAGGGTAATGATTTCTCGTTTAGATGCTGGACACCCACCTAGCGCTGCGCACAGACCCACATGAACGTCCAGTGCGTCTCGAGGTGACGTCGCTGGCGGTATTTTGACTACCGTTCTCCAATCGGACTCGGGACGCCAGTCACCAACATACGCCAACTTTCTCCCTTACAGTCTCAACATCCCACCATCTCGTCCGATCCGCTTGAAAGGGTTCTTACATTTCGCTGTTGGCGTGAGGGCGTGGCGGCAAGGTGTTCCTTTCGCGTGTGTCATAGCTTCGTTCCATGTGCCGACGTCGATATCATCCGGTATGTACGGACCCTTGACTTAAGCACTGTGCTTCAATATCCCATTATTTGAATACACAGTCGAACACTCGGGAACCGCAGCCCGCCACACATACACACCCCGCCTCCGGCACACAGCCAAGAAAGTGTAGCAATATCTACACACACAGCACACTGCCCGGGGTCCTACCCCGACGAACCCTATAACATTGACATGATCTGTAATGGGTCGAGATCCAACAATCCCCACCACCAGATAGAAGAAGTAGGAGTGGAGGCCAGATGCAGTGTTTTGGGTGTGCTTGATGATTAACGAACACGGAATCCTATCTGCCGCCTGATGAGTATCAATCGTTCGCGGGATTCTCGAGGGTAAAAACCCCAATATCTGGTGCGAGTTACTATGTTGCTTGACTGGAGTAGTGATCATCGAAAGGAAGATGCAAAGTTCGTCATCGGGCTAGAATTTCACCGATTCAGTGGAGGGATTGGGTATTTCGGGGTGATATCTTCGTCTACCATTGGTTGCACGCAAATAGATATCTATTCAATGAGAAGCATCTTCTCGAGCAGGTTCGTTGCACTGTTTGATAGTTCGACCACGGTCGGCCTGAGAAAGTCCGAGTAGAAGGTAGGGAAATGATCATACAATCAAAGGAGATACAGTAGATACAGACGAAGGCTGAGCGAAGTCCAAAAAAGGCGTTCTCGGGCTCGAAAGTAGGGCGGGGATTATTAAATTGAGAGATTATACTCATACTCGCTCCCTACACTCTGTGACATCCAAAGAACGATCGCAGAGAGCATCAGGGCCGTATTCTGAGAGACGCATGCGTAGCCGTAGTAGGTGAACTGTTCTTCGTATGCATGTGTGACATATTTCAGCACCAAAAGCGCCTGATATAGTTCGATGAGTACCCTCTCGCAAACAAATACATGATAGACAGGAGACGTACGACACTGCCGGCAAGACCACCTGCCATCAAGGCAAAGCCCTATGAATAGGAACAGCCGTGCCCTCCAGACAGCCTTCGGATCTTGGAACCCTTCATCTCCCCGTACACGATCCTTGTCAATGAGGTTGACTACGAGCATTCCGAGGAGGGAACAGATGCCCGGGACCCAGTCAGCAAAAGATACATGGACTGGTGGGTCACCATAGGTTGCACGGGCGTGTGCTGATAGGATAGCAGCATCCAGGAAAGTCCAATTGGCGAGTGCAAACTAGTTACAACGTTAACACTTGACAGAAAGGAGTGATTGGAGAGCTCTCACAAGACCACCCGCAAGATAGATACCAATCGTCCGTCTATATTTCCCTAGAGAAACATTCGGAAAAGGGTTCAAACATACCCTCCTTGGGTCGTAATTTGAGCGAGGGAGAGACATGATGATGGACGTTGCAGCAGAAACACGGACTGCGGTGCAGTCACACCGAGTGTAACATGTGTCACCGTGACTTTCATGTGTGACTCATCACTAACTGCTTGTATTGATACATTGACTCTAATCATCGATATCACCTATGTAAAACATGTCGACCTCTACAAATAATTTTGACTCACAAAGACTCCTACGTAGACAGCATGAGCAATGCCATAATTGTCCGTTACACTCTCCTATTTGAACGTCATTTCACTGACTTGCACAAGGCCACATAAGCAAGGCAGACAGCTCGGCGCGTTCGATAGGTAATGTAACCCTTCGCGAATGTGCTAGTTGTCATGTTGCGAAATACTGTGTAAGTATCCAGTTGACCAACCGTAGAGTACTCAAAATATTGATCCCCAATCAGAGTCGCGCGTGCCAACGAAGCCATTGGAAGGTTCATAAACCCCGCTGCGCACAGCACAAGGAGCAGGCAGAGAAGCTCAATGCTCGACACCAAGAGCCATCTGGGGATTCCAATGATGCAACCCTACGTCCCCAAGATATGCTAAACGAAGTAGGTTCTTGGAAGAAACGTGCCATGCCCTTCCTCTTTCAAGCCGGTTACAATGCCTTCGATCTCGCAGGCAACTACCTAGCATGGATAGACAACTTCCTCGTTATCTCCTTAGAGCGGCTCCCCGAAGTGGATGCGTCTTCACCACATTGGTCTCGATTCAGAGTATTGAAGGTCGAGAAAATGCACGTGCGGGATTTCTGCGAAGAGGCGGCAATGTCTCCTAAAGATGTCAAAGACTTGGTCGACCAGAAGACGCTAATGGAAGACGAGAATATTCGTAAAGGTGCTCATGGTACCATTAGCATCGCATTAAAGATCAGTTGCCCGAGGTTTCCGGATGTGGCTTTGGTTAATTTTCTGTATGCGGCGTACATGAAGGGGGACGAACGAGCTATTAATATTACGTCGAACTGGAAAGAGGAGTTCATGGACTCGTTGGGAAAGATGTGTGAAGGCGATGCTTGAACCTATTGTATAATAGCTAGATTTGGATGTCTGCAGTACGCTTGTACAATTTGTGCCTTTTGGTTTATCTACGTTATAACACTCTCGTACTAAATACAAACTTCCAATGTCGCTTAAGGTTTCTCCTGCTAAGACGTTACCTAAACGAGCGATCTCACTACCAAATCTGGAAAGGCGACTTCTAAATTCGGTATCATCGTCTGCCTTTGAAGAAGATCTCATTAGACGATGTTAAAAAGAGCGCTCGAAAACATCCAACAACACGTCATCGAGGCGCACCAAAACAAAAATGACCACTGTGCCGTTGTGAATACTGCAAGTCAAACAGTCGGACATAGGCAAAAAGGTTGGACGCACTGGGAATTGAACCCAGCACCCCCCGCAAACGCATTATACAGTATTCACCGATGCTAAGCGGATGTGATAACCAACTACACCATGCGCCCATAGATATTAGCTCAATGAGCATCCTCACATCCACTGTTATCATTACAACATAACATTGGTCTTAGGCTATCGGTTGACTCTTAATTCATCCTTAACATGTGTCACTTCACGTTCAAAAGAATGAAAAGCGAATAAATAAGAATTCCATACATCAATACGACAGGATAAGTAGTGTGTAAACTAATCACAGGTCAAATTCAATGCGACAACGTCTAGAGCTCAGCATGCGAAACGGTCTCTTCGACCTTCTCCTTGATCTCCTCGACGACTTCTTCAGCACGCTTGAAAGCACTGAGGATGTTCGCCTTGATTTTAATCTCGTCGAGCTTTTGTGCGGAAAGAGTGCGCTTTTGGAGAATGCTTGCCAATCTGAATTATCGGCATGAAAACAGTAAGGGGCCTGTAAATGCAAGTTCCAAAGTGTAGAACTGACCGCTTGGACTCCTTCTCCAAGTACGCTTCGCTTCCATTAACAACCTTCTCCATGACCTTGACGTAGTGCTTCGCGAGAGGACCAACAGTCTTGATCAAGCCCTCTGCCTCTTTCAAAATGGTCTGCCTAGCATCACCAGTAGCGTCGAAGAATTTGCTAGCGAGCGAATCGAATTCAGGAAGACGGCCAGCTTGGGCATTGAGACCACCGCCGACTGCACGTTGGGTACCACACTGCTCGTTGAGATACTCGACGAAGGCTTCTTCGGTACGGTCACCATCGTAATCAAGGGGCTCCTCTATGAAAGTTCAAGAAACGTCTTTGTTAGAAATTGGAGGACTGGAGAATGAGAGAACAGGATTACCTTTGTTGCCTTTAGGGAAGAACTTGATAGTGGGGAAAGAGCCGATCTCGTACTTGGTGGCAAGAGGACGGTTTGGTTGAGCATCAGCATCAACGTTGGCGATGACACACTATGATAGCAAAAATATGAATATTGAAACAAATATCATAAAGAAATTCGTAGTGTTCACGTACGTCAGACTCAGGCGCGAAGGTCTTGGCAACTAGGATAGTTCTATAAATACATCTTACAACTTAGAACGAATAGGACCACTTTACCTTCTTCGTAGATGGGCTTCAGACGCTTGCAGTGACCACACCAAGGAGCAGTGAAGGCGACGATGACATTCTTGTCCTTGTTCTAAATAATCATTTATGTTAGTCTATCCCTTATATTTAATTCTCAAAACACGTACAAGGGCGACTTCGTCAAAGGTGTGAGTGTCGAGGATTGTGTAAGCAGGCGGCGGTGGGGGCTTGATGTTCGACTTGACACCAGACTTCGTTGCCACACTAAACAACACGTTAAAGTTAAATCAAAAACTATTTGGAATAATGGAGAGACCACACTTACAATCCAGCGAGGTCATTGAGTTCACGTCCACCTTCGTATTTCTCGGGTTCACCACCATCCGCGTTGAACCACTTCAAAGCTGAAATTTAATTAATTGAATTAATACGATAATCTCGTATCTTTGTTGATGCTGAATACATACTGGGGAATCCGGTGACACCGTACTTCTGTCCCAACGGCTTGCCAACACCGTCGGCATCAACTTTTGCAATAACGACCTTGTCTTTCGCGTGTGAGAATGCATCACCGAGTTGTTCGTAGACAGGTGCAAGGTTCTATGTGCGTAAGAAGGGCATTAGTTTGTTAGTATGTGATGAATACATTCACTCCGGGATACTAACCTTGCAGTGACCACACCATGGTGCGAAGCTATTCCACCAATATTCAATACACGAAAGGGTTGTGTAGGTATACAAGTGAGGATTACTCACAACTCAACGAGAGCAGGCTTTCCTTGACCAATAATAGTGTCAAAGTTCTCTGGGGTCAAATCAATGACGTTTGAAGCCAAAGCACCCGTTAGCGAGACGACCGCTGCGAACAGCGTAGCAGTGAATTTCATCTTCTCTCCTCAAGAAGGGTCTCAAGTCAAAATGAAAGTCGTCGACGCGGAGGAGGAGGAGATGGGAGTCGTAAGGAAAGTTGGTGAGACTGCAAGCTTATGAAGACTCGGTCTCTGTGAATTGTAGACGTGGAAGTAAGAGGCGGTTGCCACATTAGGTCGATTTGTAAGCAACGGGTCAAGTTTCGCCTAGTGAGCCTGGGATTATCAAAGCCCGCACCTTACACCGCAACCCTCTCAAGCTTTCAAGCTCAAGCCTTGCGTGTTTCTTTCTTTCTTACACTCACTAATAGGTTCAAATGTATATCAGCCTTATTTTCTATCTAATTGCAAACCTCAAACTCCATTTGTTTTACTTGGACTTGCCTCGTGAAAGTCGCCTTTTCACTGAGCACTCCGACATATCGCTCCTTCACGGTCACACGAATCCATAAACCATTGGCTAGAAAATCGGTATACCGGGATATCCCCTGTGAAATATTCCATGGTCAAGTTCACATCGATACAGAGTTGGTACGGACATTTAATTCCCCAACGGATATGGGTGCAAGATCTGACCGTAATACAACTCCGCCTCCGCACTAGCTAGGAAGACGTACGACGGTGCAATCTCTGAAGGTTGGCCCCGTCGACCTAGATGTGAATGTTCTCCGAATCCCTCCATCTGCTCTGCAGGCCGAGAAGCGGGTTGTAACGGGGTATGAACAGGGCCAGGGGCAACTGCGTTAACCCTCTGCATTTATAGAATCTCCAATTAGCCATACTTTCACTTCGACATGAGGACCGCACTTACTATTCCTTCCGAAATCAAGTTCTTGGCTAGCGCTCTGGTAAAGCCAACGATCGCACCTTTTGTACTGGTGTAGTCGACCATTGCAGGGCTTCCCTTGAACGTCGTAACACTCGTCATATTGATGATACTTGCTCCCTTTTCCATATACGGTAAAGCGAATTTCGTAATGGCAAACATCTGCAGAATGTTGCTTCGGAAGCTACTTTCGACTACATCTAGATTGATATTGGCAAAGTCTTTTTCCATGGTTTGCTTCGATGCATTATTGACAAGGACGTCGAGCTTGCCGAACCTGTTGACATGTCTCTGTATGACCTTGTAGGCGTTTTTGAAGTCCTCGAGATCAAATGCGATTGAGAGGCATTCTCGGCCTTCGCGTTGGACTGCAGCTACAGTGTCTTCGGCGTCCCTCTGCTCTTGGGGAAGATGTACGATAGTTACATCAGCACCCTCCCTTGCAAAGAGAATCGCTACGGCACGCCCAATACCGGAACCAGTCATTATTTCTTTAGTATCATGCTCGACACTTGAAGGAAAAGGGAATGACGTGCTCTCCTCCGGTGATGAATGCCTTCTTTCCACTTAGCCTCTCGGCACCTACATACTCCTTAGGCTCGGTGGTGGTCTTCAGTCTCGTATCGAATGGTTTAGGCTCCATCCCTTTTTGCAAGCCCGGAAGGTTCTGCTCTTGCTTGGGAATCTGCTGCTTCAATGTACTCCCTTCGTGTGGTTTTTGGTCGGCCATCTTCAACGTAGTGTAATTCAGAGATCTCAATCGTTGCTGATAAGACGAGCAGGGAGCGGCGATGGTGTAGGTCGAAGACGAGTGATATAGTTTGCTAAAAGTTCGAGTTGAACAACATGGGAGTCTTATACGCATCCCTTTTGTTAAGGCGTAGGATATTGCGTCATGCTAAGTACTTTTGAACTACATGTGCTCCAACTTTCGATCATAGTCGATGCAAATATTGACGTGTTTCCTCTGGTGGAGTAATATCAGTATAGATTGGAGTAGACCCTACTCACGTACCCATCCAGGCTGGGTCATGGTCCCGTCTGTCTCGATGAGCAACTCAACTCGTATCCGCAAGTGGTACTATCGACGAAGAGAACAAAACCATTTATAGTGTCTGATGAGAGCTAAACATTGCGCATGAGTTTTATATCATATACAAACATGAATACCTGACTTGACTCAAGGATAGAGTGCACGCCCGTCAAAAGGCTAGCTATTGACTAGTTGTTTAGTCACATCACAAGAACCTATGCCGTGTTATACGCAATGCATATCAGAGTTAAACCCCTTCTTCATCCCATCTAATCCCCAGGCCTCTCGTGAAGAAATCCTAGAATATGAGATAGAATTTTGTGGCAGAGAAGTTCAATAGAGCCTTTACTGTCATGTCCCTCGAATATCTTCACCTCGTCGAGAGATCGATGAATGGAAGTTGTTCATCGTCTCAGACGAAATTTCCCACTCCCCGACACGGTTCCTGCGTAGGCTCGGATTTCCCTCAGACACCTCGGTCCAACCCTTCGTTGAGCGCATGACACTCAAGCCCGAACGATCGTATTGTGTGGAGATATGGGATACCCAGACCAGACCGAATTCTATCCCAAGAGTTCTTTCCAGCACTCGTATGGGTTTAACCCGTTCACACCTGTTTTGGACCGACGGTCGTCCCTTCTACAGCCTGCGATACTGACATCATTGAGGAGCCAGAGGTACAGTGTTGGCTGGTGATGCTGAACGTTATGGTACAAGAACGCAGGAAGAAGGCCGATAACGGCGCATCAGATACAGAGATGAACTCACATTGAATAGAGAAGCTTGTACCTTTACACCCGAGCACCCTCGGAGACAGAATGTGATTATCTAGTATCTTGAAAGCGCAAGAGTCTAGAATCGACTTCTGACCTACATACAACTTTCTTTACGAATCCGAACAGAATGAGGTCGTTTCGGCTCACATCAAAAGAAATGATAGAATAGCACCATATCAATGTATTACTCACCTCATCGATGAGTAACAAGGTAGGGCCGAGTCTTCTGTGAGACTACAGTCCTGATAAAGTGTGCAGTTTCCCAAGCGAGAATCATTTAGTAGGCACAAACATTGAGCAGAAAACATATCACCAATGAGGCATCGCCCAATGAAAAAATCGTCACTTTATGAAGTTCTCTGACCCTCGTTTTCACAAGCTTCTGACGAATAACAGCCTAGACCTGGCTTGTTCGCATGCTGATTCAATAGAAGTTGTCTAGAGTGCTAAAGTTTGGGGGTAACATCAACA